CTGGGAGAGGGGTCAGCGCGGATCCCTGGGATGGGAGCACTGGGAGCACTGGGAATGCGGCCCCAGCCGTGGCCCAGCTCCTTCCCTGCACATTCCTGATATTCCCTGATATTCCCAACAGTGTTTTCCTCACTCTGCTCCTGCTCAGATCCCTCTGGAATTCCCAAATTGGGCTCAAATCCCTAAAGTGGGCTTGGATCCCTCTGGAATTCCCAAATTTGGCTCGGATCCCTCTGGAATTCCCAAACTGGGCTCAGATCCCTCTGGAATTCCCAAATTGGGACAATCTGAGCCGAGCTTCCCGCTGGGAAAAGGGAGGGGTGGGGCTGGAGTTTGTGTCCCCTTCCCGCTGGAATTCCAGGGATTTTGGGGAAAGCAGGAGCAGCTCGGGTGGTTTCGGTGTCTTCCCCTCCCTCAGCACTTGGTGTGGGCAGGAAATGAAAATAAAAATAAATTAAAATAAAATAAATAAAATTCAGACGGAAGTGGAGGAGATTTCCGGGTTCTGCCTGGCTCAGGGGTGGGAGAAGCGCCGGGAATTTTGGGATTTAGGGAATTTGGGAATTCCTCACCCCCAGCCAGGGCTCGGGGCGGGTTTTGGGGAGGTTTTGGCTCCGGGAAAGGTCCGGGAATTTGGGAATCTTCTGGAGGCGCAGTGGGAATGGCAGGAGGAGTTCAGAGCCGGAAGCGCGGCTGTGATTGACTGGTCCTCATGAATATTCATTAATTCATTAATATTCATGAGCGCATCGCTGCTGCCATGGCCCAGCTGTGCCCGGGATCCGATCCAAATTCAGGATCCGCCCAGATCCCGTGGATCCGCTCCGAATCCAGGGATCTGATCGGAATTCCGGGATCCGCTCTGAATCCAGGGATCCACCCAGAATTTATGGATCCGCTCAGAATCCAGGGATCTGCTCCAAATCCAAGGATCCACTCTGAACCAACGGATCCACTCCGTGCCCAGGGACCCACTCCAGAGGGATTGGAGCCAAATTCCAGAGGGATCTGGGCCCAGTTTGGGAATTCCAGCGGGACTGGGGCCCAGTTTGGGAATTCCAGAGGGATCTGGGCCCAGTTTAGGAATTCCAGAGGAATCTGAGCCCAGTGTGGGAATTCCAGCAGGACTGGGGCCTCCATCCAGTGGCTCCACAGCCGAGTGTGGGAGGGGAGGGGGACCTGGAGCAGTGGGAAAAGTGGGAGTGGGATCATTCCCAACCATTCCTGATCATTTCCCATCATTCCTGATCATTCCCGACCATTCCTGACCATTTCCCACCGTTCCTGACCATTCCTGATTGTTCCTGACAATTCCAGATCATTCCCAGCCATTCCTGATTATTTCTGGTCATTCCCGGAGCAGCCAAACTTGGAGAGGAAAAAGGAATTTATTGAGGGACAACACCTGGATTTGGGATAGAAAACACCTGGATTTGGTAGAGGGAGACACCTGGATTTGGGATTTGGGATAGGGGAACACCTGGATTTGGGACAGGGAACACCTGGGTTTGGGATCTCCAGGGGATTTGGGATTGGCCCAGGAAAAACAGGATAACAAGAGTGGGAAATCTCCAGGGGATTCGGGATTTTGGGGAAAAGCAGGATGCGTGCCTCAGTTTCCCCACGGAATGGCTCCAGGAGGGATTTTTGGGATAAATCCGCTCGGTGCCGGCGCCGGGTCCTCCGCGCGTGGCTCTGCTGTGTGAATCCCATGGGATCTGTGGGATTTGGGGGATCTGGGGGATCTGTGGGATTTGGGGGATCTGTGGGATTTGGGGGATCTGGGGGATCTGTGGGATTCGGGATCCAGGGAATGCCACAGGCCGGCGTTGTCCCCGCGCTGCCGTTCCCGGTCCCGCCTGTTCCAGGGAAAACGGGGATGGAGACGAGGACCCCAAATCCCAAATCCCAAATCCCAAACCCCAAATCCCGATCTCCAAACCCAAAACCTGACCCCAAACCACAAACCCTGTGCCCCAAACTCCAAACCTCACATCCCAAACCTGACCCAAACCCCCAACCCCACACCCCAAATCCCAAACTCCAAACCCCCAACCTCAAACCACACACCCTGCACCCCAAACCTGATCCCAAATCGCAGACTCCAAACCCCACGCCCCAAACTTGACACCAAACCCCACACCTCAAAGCCCACACCCCAAATCCCAAACCCAAAACGTGACCCCAAATTCCAAACCCTGCACCCCAAACCCAAAATCTCAAATCCCAAATCCAAAACCTGACCCCAAACCCCCAATTCCAGACCCCAAACCCCACACCCCAAACCCGAAACCTCAAACCCCAAACCCAAACCTGAAACCCAAAACTCCAAACCCCGCACCCCAAACATGACCCTGCACCCCAAACCTGACCCCAAACCCCAGATCTGACCCCAAACCGAAACCCCACAGCTGAGCCCGCAGCTCTCACCTGTCCCGGTCACGGCTCCAGCTCGAAGGCGGGCGCCAGGAATTCCCTCGGGACGATCCCGATTTCCCGGCCGAGCTCCCCGACCCACCAACCGTACCCGGGGTACTCCTGTGGGACCGGGACTGGGGTCAGAAACACCCCAGACCTCACAGAAAAACCCAAATCCAACAGAAAATACTCAAAATCCTGCAAAAAACACCCCAAACCCCACGGAAATACCCCAAATCCCTCAGGAAATACTCAAAACCCCACAGACATACCCAAATCCTACAGAAAATACTAAAAATCCTGCAAAAAACATCCCAAACCCCACGGAAAAACCCCAAATCCTACAGAAAATACTCAAAATCCTGCAAAAAACATCCCAAACCCCACGGAAAAACCCCAAATCCAACAGAAAATACTCAAAATCCTGCCAAAAACATCCCAAACCCCACGGAAATACCCCAAATCCCACAGAAATGCCCCAAATCCTACAGAAAATACTCAAAACCCCACAGAAATACCCAAATCCCATGGAAATACCCCAAATCCTACAGAAAATACTCAAAACCCCACAGAAATACCCCAAATCCCACAGAAATAACCTAAATCTCACAAAAAAATACTTCAAATCCTACAAAAAAACCCCAAAATCCTACCAAAAAATACTCAAAATCCCACAGAAATACCCCAAATCCTCTGGGTCAAGGTTTGGGGCCAAGAAGGAGAATTTTTTTTATGATTATTCTTACCCCAAAGTATATTTTAAATTATTACCCCAAATTTATCCCTTAAATCCAAATTTATTCCTAAAACCCCGCAGGCTGGGCCATTCCACAGTCCCAATCCCGATTTTAAACTAATCCCGATTTTAAAATAATCCCAATTTTAAACCAATCCCTTCTCTGCTAAATCCTGGGATACACCTTGGGGTGAATCCTGGGATTTTCCAGCATCCAAAAGCATGGAAAAAACCCCAAATTTATGCCTAAAATCTAAATTTATCCCTAAAATCTGAATTTATCTCAAAACAGGCCGGGCCATTCCACAATCCCAATCCCAATTTTAAACCAATCCAAATTTTGACCCAATCCCAATTTTAAACCAATCCCTTCTCTGCTAAATCCTGGGATAAATCCCGGGATTTTCCAGCATCCAAAAGCATGGAAAACCCCCCCAAAATTATCCCTAAAATCCGAATTTATCCCTAAAATCCGAATTTATCCCTAAAACTCTGCGTGCCGGGCCATCCGGATTTTAAACCAATCCCAACTCCTTCTGTGCCGAATCCAGGGATGAGCCTGGGCCTAAATCCCAGGATTTTCCTAAATCCCGGGATTTTCCCAAATCCCAGGGCCGGAGCAGGCCCCGAACTCGCGCCAGCCCAGCTGGAATTTTCCCCCCGCGCGGCGCCGGAAGAATTAAAAGCTCATTAAAAACTCGCGGCAATCGCGCCGGCGATGCCAAATTGCCCCGCGCCGCCGCCTGCAGATGTTCGTTAATTATGCTAATTTTTATTAAATCATTAACGCCGAGCCCTGGCACGGCGGAGCTGCCCGAACTCTGCTCCGCTCCTTCCCGGCCCGCTGGAATTCCGGGGTTTTGGGGAGCGGGAGGAGGAGGAGGAGGAAGGGGAGGACGGGGTTTTGTTGGGGTTTGGTTAATTAGGGCTTAACGAGGGCTCTGCTGCGCTGGGCGGGGATGTTGGGAAATTTATGGAATTTTATGGGAAGGACTGGAAGGGAGAGGATGGGAAAGGGAGCCTGGGAGGGGTGAGGGGGGCACTGGGAGCACTGGGAACAACTGGGAATCTCTGGGAAGCGCAGCAGCGTCCCCCCCCATTCCTGGGAATCGTTGGGAATCAGGAAATTGGGAATCTGGCACCCTATGAAAACTGGGAATGGATTCGGGGTCACTGGGAATTGCATTTGGGGTCACTGGGAATTGCATTTGGGGTCACCACGACTCCATATCCCCATTCCCAGGAATCCACAGGAATCGGGAATTTGGGAATCTGGAACCCCTTCAAAGCTGGGAATTGGATTTGGGGTCACTGGGAATTGGACTTGGGGTCATTCAGAATTGGACTTGGGTCGCCCTGATTTCATCTCCCTATTCCCAGGAATCCACAGGAATCGGGAAATTGGGAATGTGGAACCCTTTCAAGGTTGGGAATTGCATTTGGGGTCATCACGACTCCATCTCCCCATTCCCAGGAATCAGCAGGAAGCAGGGAATTGGGAACCGGATTCCCTTTTGAAGACGGGAACTGGATTTGGGGTCACCCCAACTCTGTCCTCCCCATCCCGGGAATCCTCAAACTGGGAATCCCATCCCACCAGGATCCATCCCATCCCACCAGGATCCATCCCATCCCACCAGGATCCATCCCATCCCACCAGGATCCATCCCATCCCACCAGGATCTGTCCAATCCCTTTGGTGTCTCCACATCCCATCTCATCGGGGTCTCTATGTCCCATCCCAATGGAGTCTCCATCCCCATCCCACCAGGATCCACGTGATCTGTCCCATCCCACCAGGATCCACGTGTCCCATCCCACCAGGATCTGTCCAATCCCTTTGGTGTCTCCATGCCCATCCCACCAGGATCCACGTGTCCCATCCCACCGGGATCTGTCCCATCCCACCAGGATCTGTCCCATCCCAATGGAGTCTCCATCCCCATCCCACCAGGATCTGTCCTATCCCTTTGGTGTCTCCATGCCCATCCCACCAGGATCCACGTGTCCCATCCCACCAGGATCCACGTGTCCCATCCCACCAGGATCTGTCCCATCCCTTTGGTGTCTCCATGCCCATCCCACCAGGATCCATGTGTCCCATCCCACCGGATCTGTCCCATCCCAATGGTGTCTCCATCCCCATCCCACCAGGATCTGTCCCATCCCACCAGGATCTGTCCCATCCCACCAGGATCCACGTGTCCCATCCCACCGGATCTGTCCCATCCCCTTGGGGTCTCCATGTCCCACCCCAACCCATCAGAATCCATGCATCCCAAAGATCCAATTTACAATTCCCCACAAAATCATCCAACCACAGCCCTGCCACCGCCCCACCCTGCCCGAGGGACCCTGGGGTGACACCGGGCTGACATGGGTGTGACAGGGGTGACACGGGGTGACACGGGTGGGACAGGGGTGACACGGGTGACACGGGGGTGACATGGGGGTGACAGGGCTGACAGGGTGTGATAGGGCTGACACAGGGTGACACGGTGTGACAGGGATGACACAGGGTGTGACACGGGTGTGACAGGGGTGACAGGTGTGACAGGGCTGCCCCCGGGCTGCCCCCCGGCTCCAGACTCCCTCCCTGGCTCCCCTCCCAGCCTGGCCAGCGCCGGCTCGGTCGTTACCGGCGGGCGCGGCGGGGCCGGTAAGCCGGTCCCGTTCCACCGGCCGGGCCCGTTCCGTCCACCGGGCCCGTTCCACCCGCCGGTCCCGTTCCACCCACCGGTCCCGTTCCACCCGCCGGGCCGGTTCCACCCGCCGGTCCCGTTCCACCGGCCGGTCCCGTTCCACCCGCCGGGCCCGTTCCGTCCGCCGGGCCCGTTCCACCCGCCGGTCCCGTTCCACCCGCCGGTCCCGTTCCACCCGCCGGTCCCGTTCCACCCGCCGGGCCCGTTCCACCCGCCGGGCCCGTTCCACCCGCCGGGCCCGTTCCACCCGCCGGGCCCGTTCCACCCGCCGGTCCCGTTCATCTGCGCCGGCCGCCGCCGCCCCGGGAGGCGCCGCCGCAGCTCCGCTTCGCCGCCGACGTTCTCCTCAATCACCGCCCGGCGCTTCAGGGGCCGTCGCCGCCGCCGCGCCGGTTCACCGCGAGGGCACGGCGGAACGGGGGCACCGCGAGGGCACGGCGACGGCTTTGGGTGGAATTCCCGGGGATTTGGGCT